AGAGAGAGAGACACACACGACCCAGAGAGAGAGACACACACCGACCCAGAGAGAGAGACACACACCGACCCAGAGAGAGACACACACCGACCCAGAGAGAGAGACACACACAGACCCAGAGAGAGAGACACACACAGACCCAGAGACACACACACGCACAGCCCCAGAGAGAGAGACACACACAGACCCAGAGAGAGAGTCACACACAGACCCAGAGAGGAGACACACACACGACCCAGAGAGAGACACACACACACCCAGAGAGAGAGACACACACACCCAGAGAGAGACACACACAGCCCAGAGAGAGAGACACACACAGACCCAGAGAGAGACACACACACAGACCCAGAGAGAGACACACACACAGACCCAGAGAGAGACACACACAGACCCAGAGAGACACACACACAGACCCAGAGAGAGACACACACACAGACCCAGAGAGACACACACACAGACCCAGAGACACACACACGCACAGCCCCAGAGAGAGAGACACACACAGACCCAGAGAGAGACACACACACAGACCCAGAGAGAGAGAGAGACACACACAGACCCAGAGAGAGACACACACACAGACCCAGAGAGACCACACACACACAGACCCAGAGAGAGACACACACACAGACCCAGAGAGACACACACACACAGACCCAGAGAGAGACACACACACAGACCCAGAGAGAGACACACACACAGACCGAGAGAGACACACACACAGACCCAGAGAGACCACACACACACAGAGCCAGAGACCACACACACACAGACCCAGAGACCACACACACACAGACCCAGAGACACACACACGCACAGCCCCAGAGAGAGAGACACACACAGACCCAGAGAGAGAGAGAGACACAAACAGACCCAGAGAGAGACACACACACAGACCCAGAGAGAGAGACACACACACAGACCCAGAGAGAGAGAGACACACACAGACCCAGAGACACACACACGCACAGCCCCAGAGAGAGAGACACACACAGACCCAGAGAGAGACACACACAGACCCAGAGAAGAGCACACACAGACCCAGAGAGAGACACACACACAGACCCAGAGAGAGACACACACAGACCCAGAGACACACACACAGACCCAGAGAGACACACACACAGACCCAGAGAGAGACACACACACAGACCCAGAGAGAGACACACACAGACCCAGAGACACACACACAGACCCAGAGAGAGACACACACACAGACCCAGAGAGAGACACACACACAGACCCAGAGACACACACACACAGACCCAGAGAGACACACACACAGACCCAGAGAGAGACAAACACAGACCCAGAGAGAGACACACGCACAGACCCAGAGACACACACACGCACAGCCCCAGAGAGAGAGACACACACAGACCCAGAGACACACACACGCACAGCCCCAGAGAGAGAGACACACACCGACCCAGAGAGAGAGACACACACCGACCCAGAGAGAGACACACACCGACCCAGAGAGAGAGACACACACCGACCCAGAGAGAGAGACACACACCGACCCAGAGAGAGAGACACACACAGACCCAGAGACACACACACGCACAGCCCCAGAGAGAGAGACCACACACCGACCCACACAGACCCAGAGAGACCACACACACACAGACCCAGAGAGAGACACACACACAGACCCAGAGACCACACACACACAGACCCAGAGACCACACACACACAGACCCAGAGACACACACACGCACAGCCCCAGAGAGAGAGACACACACAGACCCAGAGGGAGAGACACACACACAGACCCAGAGAGAGAGAGAGACACACACAGACCCAGAGAGACACACACACACAGACCCAGAGAGAGACACACACACAGACCCAGAGAGACACACACACACAGACCCAGAGAGAGACACACACACAGACCCAGAGACCACACACACACAGACCCAGAGACACACACACACAGCCCAGAGAACACACACACAGACCCAGAGACACACACACGCACAGCCCCAGAGAGAGAGACACACACAGACCCAGAGAGAGAGAGAGACACAAACAGACCCAGAGAGAGACACACACACAGACCCAGAGAGAGACACACACACAGACCCAGAGAGAGAGACACACACAGACCCAGAGACCACACACACACAGACCCAGAGAGAGACACACACACAGACCCAGAGAGAGACACACACAGACCCAGAGAGAGACACACACAGACCCAGAGAGAGAGACACACACACAGACCCAGAGAGAGACACATACACAGACCCAGAGACACAAAAAACAGACCCAGAGAGACACACACACAGACCCAGAGAGAGACACACACAGACCCAGAGAGAGACACACACACAGACCCAGAGACACACACACAGACCCAGAGACACACACACAGACCCAGAGAGAGACAAACACAGACCCAGAGAGAGACACACACACAGACCCAGAGACACACACACACAGACCCAGAGAGAGACACACACAGACCCAGAGAGAGAGAGACACACACAGACCCAGAGAGAGAGACACACACAGACCCAGAGACACACACACACACGAGCGAGAGAGACACACACACACGAGCGAGAGAGAGACACACACACGAGCGAGAGAGAGACACACACACGAGAGAGAGAGACACACACCGACCCAGAGAGAGAGACACACACACACAGACCCAGAGAGACACACACACAGACCCAGAGACACACACACGCACAGACCCAGAGAGAGACACACACAGACCCAGAGAGAGCACACACACAGACCCAGAGAGAGACACACACACAGACCCTGAGACAGACACACACAGACCCAGAGAGAGCACACACACAGACCCAGAGAGAGAGACACACACAGACCCAGAGAGAGACACACACACAGACCCAGAGAGAGACACACACACAGACCCAGAGAGACACACACACAGACCCAGAGAGAGACACACACAGACCCAGAGAGAGACACACACACAGACCCAGAGACCACACACACACAAACCCAGAGACACACACACACAGACCCAGAGAGACACACACACAGCAAGAGAGACACACACACAGACCCAGAGACACACACACGCACAGCCCCAGAGAGAGAGACACACACAGCCCCAGAGAGAGAGAGACACACACAGACCCAGAGAGAGAGACACACACCCAGACCCAGAGACACACACACGCACAGCCCCAGAGAGAGACACACACCGACCCAGAGAGAGAGACACACACCGACCCAGAGAGAGAGAAACACACCGACACAGAGAGAGAGACACACACACAGACCCAGAGAGAGAGACACACACACACAGACCCAGAGAGACACACACACAGACCCAGAGACACACACATCCACAGACCCAGAGAGAGAGACACACAGAGACCCAGAGAGAGACACACACAGACCCAGAGAGAGAGACACACACACAGACCCTGAGACACACACATGCACAGACCCAGAGAGAGAGACACACACAGCCCCAGAGAGAGAGACACACACAGACCCAGAGAGAGACACACACACAGACCCAGAGAGAGACACATACACAGACCCAGAGACACACACACAGACCCAGAGAGAGACACACACACAGACCCAGAGAGAGACACACACACAGACCCAGAGACCACACACACACAAACCCAGAGACACACACACACAGACCCAGAGAGAGACAAACACAGACCCAGAGAGAGACACACGCACAGACCCAGAGACACACACACGCACAGCCCCAGAGAGAGAGACACACACGACCCAGAGAGAGAGACACACCGACCCAGAGAGAGACACACACCGACCCAGAGAGAGACACACACCGACCCAGAGAGAGACACACACAGCCCAGAGAGAGAGACACACACAGACCCAGAGAGAGACACACACCGACCAGAGAGAGAGACACACACCGACCCAGAGAGAGAGACACACACCAACCCAGAGAGAGAGACACACACAGACCCAGAGAGAGAGACACACACAGACCCAGAGAGAGAGACACACACACAGACCCAGAGAGACACATACACAGACCCAGAGACACACACACGCACAGCCCCAGAGAGAGAGACACAAACAGACCCAGAGACACACACACGCACAGCCCAGAGAGAGAGACACACACGACCCAGAGAGAGAGACACACACCGACCCAGAGAGAGAGACACACACCGACCCAGAGAGAGAGACACACACCGACCCAGAGAGAGACACACACAGCCCCAGAGAGAGAGACACACACAGACCCAGAGAGAGAGACACACACCGACCCAGAGAGAGAGACACACACCGACCCAGAGAGAGAGACACACACAGCCCCAGAGAGAGAGACACACACAGACCCAGAGAGAGAGACACACACACAGACCCAGAGAGACACACACACAGACCCAGAGACACACACACGCACAGCCCCAGAGAGAGAGACACACAGAGACCCAGAGAGAGACACACACAGACCCAGAGAGAGAGACACACACACAGACCCAGAGACACACACACACACAGACCCAGAGACACACACACAGACCCAGAGAGAGAGACACACACACACAGCCCCAGAGAGAGAGACACACACACACACAGACCCAGAGAGAGAGACACACACACAGACCCAGAGAGAGAGAGACACACACAGACCCAGAGAGACACAGACCCAGACCCAGAGAGACCCAGAGACCCACACACAGACCCAGAGAGACACAGACCCAGAGAGACAGATCCAGACACCCCCTATGGAGGAGTGACAGACATTGACAGCTGTTGGGCCTCCGAGTGAAGCCCATTCGCCACTTGCGCCTCACTGCACATGCGCCACCGGATCTACTCCGCCCCCAGTGACGTCAAGTGAACAGTGTGCGCGGCCCGCGGGCCACTACATTTCTGGCGGGTTAGTTGCGGGGGTCTCTGTAGCGGAAAATGCGCGGCCGCACATTTTTATTGGCCCAGGTCAGGACTAACTGGTGTCTCTCGTGTTCAGTGTCCCTCAGCTCCAGAGAGTCCCACATACTAACCCTTCAAACTCTATGAGATCTGCCGCGGTGTTGCCTGGAGACTCGGAATAGGCCGCTTTGCCATCAGTCTCTGCAAACCCTTCTCTGTGACCTTTCAACCACTGCCACAGGGCCTGCTTGGTTTTACCGGGTAGATTTGCTGTTGCCAAATCACCGCTGCAAGTGAGAGATGGTTATAAATGTCAGGGGAGGCTCCAAAGAAAGAGACAAATCCGAACGTTTGCAAACACGAAGCCTTCACGGGGTGAGGTGAGGTGAGCTGCTGGTTACACATTCACTCAACATACACGAATGGGGGGAATTTAATACAAACAACTTCAGCTCCTGCCAAAGCATTGCTCATTCTCTCTCTCTCTCTCTCCCGCTATTATGACATTTTGTAACTATCTGCAGTGTTTTGGATTCCTGCAGAATCCCATCTCAGGTACCAGACGTGCCTCAGAGTCAATTCAGGGAGACTCTTTACCAGCCAGGGATCCGTGGGTTGAAGTCCCATGTTTGGATATGGAGCTTATAGTGCTCCAGTGCAGTGCTGAGGGTGGGCTACATCTTTAAAGGTGCCATCCTTTGGATAAGAAGATAAACCGAAGCCCCATCTTCCTTTTCAGGTGGATGCTAAAGATCCCATGCTACTGTTCGAAAAGAGAAGGAAATTTCTCCCAGTGTCCTGACCAACAATCCAGACCAAATAAACATTTGTCATTCATTGTGGGAGAATGCTTTGTGGAAATTGGCTGCCACATTTGTCACTAAAATCCAGTCACTATACAGTAAATCTTGTGACGCTGTTCAGACGTACTCCCAATACGAAAGGCGCTGTATCAAATGTAACGATTATTATCGTCATTATTATTACCTTTTCTTAGGTGAAAGATTAAATAATAATAATCCTTGCATTTGATATAGCGCTTTTTACGTCTTCTAGACATCTCAAAGCACTTCATAGAATAGACTGCAAAGTGAATTGACTGTATATTTGTGGGTGAAACACGGCAGACAATTGCGCACAGCAGTGTCCCACAAACAGTCATGGATTGAAAATGACCAATTTATTATTGTTTGGGGTTTTGGAGGGATTATTATTAGGCGTGTGAAGTAAGGAAACTTGCCCAAGGTTTCGCCCTCTGCCTGGAATTGAACCCAGGTGTTTCGCTTGCAAGGTGAGTGCTCTAACCACTGAGCTAAAGGACTCCACGTAAAGGTAGATCCTTTGAATTAACTTGTTGGGTTATCCAGGATATTCATAAACAGCTGGTAATGTGGATTACCTATCTTCAGTACTGTATTCCTCAACCTACATACATCATCCTCTGAACACCTATCAAAATGGAGAGGTGGTTATTGTGCCTTTTGAAACTGGCCGTTTCATCAACCTCTGTTTTTCTCTCATCTCATTCATATGCAGAGGTTGAGGAGATAATTGTTCTCTGCATCAATGCCTGCAATAAGCCATTGTACTGACATTCATGCAATACTGTACCATTGTTCCTTGTAGAGGTTGTTGATGTACTGCTCCTTTATTCCAGCAAGGCTTGATGGCTGTCCATCATCTAAATGGTTTGCTTCTGTTGTTCAGGATAGACAAAGGAAAGAGAAACAGATGTGTGAAGCACACAGAAGTCTAATTTTCCAACTACTGTATTTGTCTGCCTTTACTTTGAACAGTGACGAGCAACACATTTACTGGAATAACTAAAACTTGGTTCACATTGAATGTTTTGAGTAAAGCTAGAAAATAAACATGGCTGCATTGCTTTCTTTCCCCATTCAAGAAGAAGGGCTACAAAGAACTGGCAAAACACCATATGCTCCTTGTAATGATAAACTCACCGGTGTAGGCAACTCCTGCACATGAGAGGGGCCGGGAGGAAGGTTTGACCTCTACAGCTGTCAGGAGGATGTCATATGAAGGATCATATACTTTTTCAGCAGTATTATATGAAGTCGGGTTTTAAAGTCCAATTTTCCAGTTTTCAAGTCACAAAAAGTAAAATTTGACAGCAAACCTCAGTGCAGGTGTTTGTGTCAATTCAGCTCAACACATCTCTGTGCTCAAAGGTTTCTGCAGTTAAATATACATGATCTTTTGCCAGATCTTCTCAGTCTGAAAGCTGTTTGACCGGATGATGTGATGAGCTGACTGTTTAACAAGAGTACCGTGGCTGTGAGCTTGTGGACTGTTATGCAGCTCTTCTTTCAAATCAAGCAGAAAAACTGCATAAAAATGCAAAACTCTGCTTTCCTTGAAATCAATAACAATTTTCAGTCACACACTGAGAACCTGAAACCATGGACTGGACTCCGCACAGTTTCCCTGGCAGCGAGTTGAAGGCACAGTGGAATATATGGAATAATCCAAATTAAAATATTCAGTTACCAGATAGGAATGAATGAGGCTTACTGCAAGCTGGTGGTAAAGGTCAGAAAAGGGCCAGATGAAGTCCCAGCATTAGGATCATCTGATCAACACAATAGCATGATTCTGTCACAGGTACAGAGATGATTCTGTACTCCCTTGTGACAACATGGACATGACATACCCCAGGCAAACCTGGTCAATGTGGGGGTCAAGTCAGAACTCACGGCAGCTGCCGGAACTCACAGTGAAGCGTTCACTTGGGATGGTGTTACCCACTGAAGCAAGGCTAATAATCATGAGAATTGTAAGAAAACTCCTACACAAACCAACCTTTAAGCTTCAACAAATCTTCCAGCTTTTTTTCCAAATCCAGAATGTAATGCTTTGCTTTACGCAACACCTGCCACTGTAGATAATATACAAGTTACAGCATTAGGTCTCTGATCTTTTCAGGGATAATATGGAATACATCATCTCATTGCGAATGTTGTGAAAGATGTCATGAGAGGATCTACTGATAGTCACTTTGTACCAAATGAAAAAGTAGTATGTATGTGCCGGCTCTTTGACAAAAGCTATCCAATTTAATTATACTCTGCCACTCTCTCCCCATAGTCCTGCAAACTTGTCCTCCCCAAATAATGATCTACTTCTCTCTTAAAAGTTGTTATCAAATCGGCTTCCACCACTCTTTCAGGCAACGCATTCCAGATCCGAACAACTCGCTGTGTGAAAAAATGTCTCCTCACCTCCCCTTTGTTTCTTTTAACAACTATTTTAAATCAGTCCTCGGGTTACCAATCCATGTGCCAGTGAAAATAATGTCTCCTTGTTCATCCTATCGAATCCCCTCATAATTTTGAAAACTTCTATTAAGTCTCCTCTTAACTTTCTCTGCTCCAAGGAGAATAATCCTCGCTGCTCCAGCCTCTCCTGATAACTGAAGTCCCTCATTCCTGGTACCATTCTGGTAAATCTCCTTTGCACCCTCTCCAATGCCTTGACATCCTTCCTAAAGTGTGGGGCCCAGAACTGAACACAGTCTCTCGCTGAGGCCTAACCAGTGTTTTATAAAGGTTCATCATAACTTCCTGACTTTTGTATTCTATGTCCCTATTTATGAAGCCGAGTATCTCATATGTTTTTTTAACAGCTTTATCTACCTGTCCCGCCACCTTCAAAGATTTACTTATATGAATTCCTAGGTCTCTCTGTTCCTTCACCCCCTTTATGATTGTACCATCAGCTTATGTTGCTTCTCCTCATTCTTCCTCACAAAATGCATCACTTCACATTTCTCACATTAAACTTCATCTGCCACGTGTCTTCCCATTTTACCAGTCTGTCTATGTCCATTTGCAGTCTGCCGCTACCTCCTCTCTGTTTACTACTTTTCCTAGCTTAGGAAAACTTCTGCAAACTTGGAAATTATACTCCCTAGACCTAGAGGTCAAAAACATCACAAGACTGACCCCTGGGGGATATCACTGCACACTTCTCTCCAGTCAGAAAAACAACTGTTCACCACTCTGTGCTTTCTATCTCCCAACCAATTCTGTATCCACACTGCCATTGGGACGTCCTCCCGATGTGAAAGGCGCTATACAAATGTAATCTTATTGTTGTTGTTGTTGCTGCCACTATCCCTTTAATACCATGGTCTTCTATTTTGCTTACAAGTCTCTTATGTGGTACTTTATCAAATGCCTTTTGAAAATCCATATAAACTACATTAACTGCACTACCTTCATCCAGCCTCTACGTTACTTAATCAAAACATTGTTTATCAGGCTTGTTAGTCATGATTTGCCTTAACAAATCCACGTTGGCTGTCCTTTATTAACCCATATTTTTCTAAGTGAAAATGTATTTTGTCCCAGGTTATAGTCTCTAGAAGTTTCCCCACTCTTCCTTCTGCCCCTTTTTGTACAGGGGAGTTACATTTGCAACCCTCCAGTCCTCTGGCAGCACCCCGGTGTCGAAGGGTGATTGAAAGATTGCGGCCAGAGCCTCCGTTATTTCCAACCTTGCTTCCCTCAGTAACCTGGGATGCATCACATCCGGACCGGGTGACTTATCTACCTTGAGCACCGACAGCCTTTCAGTACCCCTTTTTGGTTTATTCTCATCTTATCCAATTTCTCTACCCTCTCCTCCGATACTGTGGCATTGGCTGCATCCTCTTTTGTGAAGACAAATGCAAAGTACTCATTCAGTACATCAGCCATGCCCTCTGCCTCCACACAAAGTTTTCCTCTTTGGTCCCTAATTGGACCCAACCTACGTTTGACTCACCTTTTATTCTTTATATACTTATAAAATTTCTTAGGGTTCCCTTTTGTGGTACCCACTAATCTTTTCTCATACAATCTCTTTGCCCACTTATTTCCTTTTTCAGTTCTCCTCTGTACTTTCTGTATTCTATTTGATCAAATGTAAGGTGTCTTTCAAATTTGTTTCTGTGTGAGTGTCAATTCCTGTTATACACAGAAAGCAAAAGCACTGATATATTCAGAATGCATATATGAAGAGGAGGGTTATAGCCAGTAAACCAGTCCAGTAGTGTAGTGGTTAGCCCTCCTTGCCTTGCAAGCGAGAGGACCTAGGTTTGATTCCGTGGGGGTGGGGAACCCTAGGCATGTTTTCTTACTCCACACACACCTGTTTACTTAGAGGTAAGTAAGAACCGGTTGTTAGTCGATTGTTGGTTCACTTTCCCAGGGTAATCCTCCCTCCAAAAATGTGGTCACTCAATCCACAACGGTTTGTGGGCTATTGCTGTGGGCAATTGCCTGCTGCGTTTCACCCACAAAATACACAGTAATTCCACTTTACAACATATTCTGTGAAGCCCTTTGAAATTTCTCAATGTTGTGATAAGGCATTATATCAAATGCAAGGATTATTATTATTATTATTATGCAGGAGAACTTCCCAGAAAATGTATACTATAATATCCTCTAAAAGTGAATGCTTCCGAGCTCTCCTTTGTGTAACCTGGTTATTCAGATCACGTTGGCCATGTCACTTTTGGAACTCGTCTAGTCCAGGCTGATAGTACAATGCAGGATTGGGGGGTACTGCATTGACAAGAGATGTCATCCTTTGAATGAGATATTAAACCAACTCCTGTCTGTCTGTTCAGCTAGGCATTAAAGATCCCACAGTGCTATTCAAAAAGGAAGATGTTTCTCCCAGTGTCCTGGCCAACAGTAATGTTGGTTATTCACCACATGACTGTTTGTGTCCCAGTGTGTGCAAATTGGTGCCAAGTAAGCATTCACTCAATCCACGACTGTTTGTGGGATATTGCTGTTACATGTTGTAACATGTATCCTGTGCAGGATTTTGAGACATCCTCCTGATGTGAAAGGTAATGTACCAAATCTAAGGATTGTTATATTCAGTGAGTGACAAGCTCTCAAAATTTCAGATGATATTTCATTTATATCTTGTGTTTCTCACACTTCTTGATCAAATCTCTTACTTTTGAGGTTGTTCTATGGTTTCTCTTTGGTTGAGAATACACGGTGTCCCGGAGGTGGTTAAAGAGACCTGCTAGTTTTGCCCGATGCCGTGCTTGAGAAAGACGCCGACGTGCCACCCGTGGTTCCACTTCTTGCAGCATGGCCAGAAAACTGGGGCTGGCATCAGTGAAGGGGCTTGTACACTCTGCAGAGCTCTCCATTTATGCCTGAAATACACACAAAGTTATCCAAAGGTAAACAGCGGTATTACAGGATTAATTCATGCCTTCGTTACCTCCTGAGTTGGCTTCTCTAATAATAACAACTATATTTGATATAGCAACTTATCACGTCGTTCAGATGTCTCTAAGCGCTTCACAGGATATACTATAAAGTGCATTGATGGGTATTTTGTGGGCAAAATGTAGCAGCCAATTGTGCACACAGAATGTGCCACAAACAGCCATGGAGTGAGTGACCAATTTTTTTTTGACAAGATTGTTGACAAGGACACCGGGAGAAACTTCATTCTCTTTTTGAATCATGCCATGAGATCTTTTAACATCTCACCAAAGGACGGCACCTCCGAGAATGTAACACACCCCCAGCACTGCATTGGAATGTCATTTCAGACAATGTGAATCAAAGTCCCAATGTAGGGCTCAAACCCAGAACCTTCTAACTCAGAGGTGAGAGTGCTACCAACTGAGCCAGGTTGACACACTCCTCATCAGTCTCTCAATTTCTACCATTCATAAGTACCCAGCTTATACAATTCTCTGCCACCCACTTCCTGACCCGTAACAAACTCTGCATACCCATTAATAATAATAATCCTTACATTTGATATAGCGCCTTATCATATCATCGAGATGTCTCAAAGCACTTCACAGAATATACTGTAAAGTGAATTGGCTGTATATGTTGTGGGCAAAACGCGGCAGCCAATTGTGCACAGCAACATCCCATAAACAGGCGTGGATTGAGTGACCAATTTTTTAAAAACATTTTTGAAGGAATTATTACTCCCAGGAAAGCGATCTGCCAATCGACTAACAACGGGTTCCTACTTACTGCTAGGTAAACTGAGGCGTGTGGAGTAGGGAACCTCGGACAGTGTTCTTCCCTGCCGGGAATCGAATCCAGGTCTCTTGCTTGCGAGGCGAGTGCTCTAACCACTGAGCTACAGGACTTCCATTGCCCTCGTCCTCGCCAGGCTCTACTGTCTTTTGGTTTTAAAGTCCTCACTCTCACCCTTCCTCATGCTGTTGTACCTCCCCAGTTTTCTGTTCTGAGATGTTGTTCTACATGAAGGGCACAGTATAAGGCAAATTGTTTGGGGAAGTTTTGGAAAACTCTTCAATCTTAATATGGAAGTCATGCTATGTTTGCCGAAAGAATAATATTCGATTCACATTAATCTCATTTTGTGAAGCACCTCAAGATATTCTTTTACGCGAAAGGTCTTCAATAAATGTAAGTTATTTTGCAGTAACTGGGGATCTGTGATTCAATAAACAAACCACTTAATTGGATACAATCATTTAACTTATTTCCAGGATGAGTTGTTCGCTGGTCATAACACACCAAAACTATTGCATACAGTTCTGGTCACTACAATAGGGTGCTTCCCAAACCCGAGAGGCATCGCAGAGGAGAGCAACGAGGATGATACAATACAATACAAAATTAAATTTGTATAGCGCCTTTTGCGTCGAGAGGATGTCCCAAGGCGCTAGATAGTCAAGGATTTCGACCCCAGCTGGGGGGCTGGGATCAAGGAGGGTGGAGGGCGGGGAGGTTAGGTTCCCAGTATTAGAGGAGCGAGCTATAGAAACGTGCAACTGCGCTGTTCCCACAGAATCCGCTATAAACACATTTAGCTATAAACCCACTGAAAATAAATTAAGTTTCTGGTGCCCGGGCCTCGCTCTGTTTACTTAACCCAACTGTGGGCGTGTGGCTCCGGTGCAATGCAAGAGGGAAATGGGCTTCACCAGGAAGCCCCGCTGTTGTGAGTGTCTGTGTGAGTGTGTCTGTATGCGTTTCTCTCTCCATGTGTTTTTGTCTGTGTGCATGTGTCTGTGTGTGTATCTCTCTCTCTATGTGTTTGTGAGTATTTGTGTGAGTGTGTCTGTGTGTGTGTGTCTCTCTCTGTGTTTGTGAGTGTCTGTGTGAGTGTGTCTGTGTGTCTCTCTCTGTGTTTGTGTTTGTGAGTATTTGTGTGAGTGTGTCTGTGTGTGTGTCTCTCTCTCTAGGTGTTTGTGATTATTTGTGTGAGTGTGTCTCTCTATGTGTTTATCAGTGTCTGTGAGCATGTCTGTGTGTGTCTCTCTCTATGTGTTTGTGTGTCTGTGTTTGCGAGTATCTGTGGAGTGTGTCTGTTTGTGTCTCTGTGTCTGTGAGTGTCTGTGGAGTGTGTCTGTTTGTGTCTCTATGTTTTTGAGTGTCTGTGTGAGTGTGTCTGTGTGCGTCTATGTGTTTGTGAGTGTATTTCTGAGTGTGTCTCCCCTGTGTTTGTGAGTGTATCTCTGTGTCTGTGTGTGCGTTTCTCTCTGTGTCTGTGATTATGTATGTCTCTGGGTCTGTGAATGTGTGTGTCTCTCTGTGTATGTCATAGAATCATACAGCACAGAAAGAGGCCATTTGGCCCACCGTGTCTGCGCTGGCTCTGAAAAGAGCAATCCAACTCAATCCCACTGGCCCGTTTTCTCTCCATAGCCCTACAATCTTCCTCCCCGAATACCCATCTACTTCTCTCTTAAAAGTTGTTATTGAATCAGCTTCCACTACCCTTTCAGGTAATTCCAGATCCAAACAACTCACTGGGTGATAACATTTTTCACCTAACCTCCCCTCTGTTTCTTTTAACAACTAACATAAATCGGTGTCCTCGGGTTACTGACCCACATGACAGTGGAAACAGTTTTTCCCGGTTCAACCTATCAAATCCTCTCATGATCTTGAAAACCTCTATTAAATCCCCTCTTAATCTTCTCTGCTCGAGGGAGAATAATCCTAGTTTTGCTAACCTCTCCTCATAACTAAGGTCCTTCATTCCTGGTACCATCCTGGTAAACCTCCTTTGCACCCTCTCCAATGCCCTAACATCTTTCCTAAAGTGCGGTGCTCAGAACTGAACACAATACTCCAAATGAGGCCAAACCAACATTTTATAAATATTCAACATAACCTCCTGACTTTTGAATTCTATGCCCCTACTTATAAAACCTAGTATCCCGTATGCTTTTTTAACAGCTTTATCTACCTGTCCAGCCACCTTCAGAGATTTGCTTATGTGGACCCCCAGGTCTCTCTGTTCATTTGTCCCCTTTAAGATTGTACCATATCGCTTATCATGCCTCGCCTCATTCTTCTTACCCAAATGCAACACTTCACATTTCTCCACATTAAACCTCATCTGCCACCTTTTTGCCCATTTTACCAACCTGTCTAAGTCCTCTTGGAGTCTGGTTGTATCCGCCTCACCATTAACTACTTTTTCTAGCTTAGTATCGTCTGCAAATTTGGAAATTGTGTTCCCTATATCCAGATCATTAATATCGATCAGAAAGAGCAGTGGTCCCAATACCGATCCCTGAAGGACACTACACACCTCCCTCCAGTCAGAAAAGCAACCATTTACTACCACTCTCTGCTTTCTGTCTCCCAGCCAGTTCTGGATCCATGTTGCCACAGTCCTTTTAATACCGTGGGCTTCTATTTTGTTTATAAGTCTCTTATGTGTCTGTGAGTGTGTGTGTCTCTCTGTGTCTGTGTGTGTCTCTCTCTCTGAGTGTCTCTCTCTTGGTCTCTGTCTCTGTGACTCCATTGGCTCCCTATCCTTCAGAAAATCCAGTGCAAGATCCTGATCCTCACCTACAAAGCCCTCCATGGCCTCACCCCACCCTACCTCTGTGACCTCCTAACCCCCTACCAACCCGCCCACTCCCTCCACTCAGCCGGCTCTGGCCTGCTCCATGTCCCCCGACCCACCCGCCCCACCATTGGCGTGAGAGCCTTCAGCCACTCTGCCCCAACCTCTGGAAATCCGTTCCCCAATCATTCCGCCTCATCCTCTCCTTAGTCTCCTTCAAGTCCCGCCTCAAAACCCTCCTCTTCAACTATCTGTCACCCCCCTTCCCCCCCCCCCCGACCCCAGCCCGGGTCTGAAATGCTGTACACTTTCCAGCGCCTTGGGATGTCCTCCCGATGTGAAAGGCGCTATACAAATGCAATCTTGTTGGTTTTGTTGTGTGCAGGGCGGAGCCCTGAGAGGCGGGAGGTGGTGAACTCCTGTAGTCTCACTGGTGTCTGTTGCCCCCCCAAAAAAAGTTTTGTTAAAGAAGCAATTAATAAAAAATGTTGACAATGTGTTATTTCTTCATGTTTAGTTTTGATCAATAAAGTGAAAAAATGTAGGTTGGCAGTAAAATGTCCTTCAATACCACCAACAACTCCCAGCCATTTTCTGTAAAATTTTCAAATTTCCCCGCAATTGTTGGCAAACATTTCCACTTTTCTATTGGCCAAGGCTATGAGCAACAATTAGATAAGTTGGGGCTCTTCAATCTACAGAGAAGACAACTCAAAAGGGGATTTAAGGAGGTGTCTAAAAAATTTACTGAGATTGAAAAATAAACCCATTACAATCCCTTTGGATTAACTAAGGCAGTAAAACAAGACGACACAGTTACAAAGAGCAATTTCCCTCTGTCTGTCAGGTTTCCTTTAGTAATTAACAACTGGAACAGATTTTCAGGAAGGGTGATTGAGGCCCAAACACTGGACTCATTTAAAATTGATGTAGGATGGCAGGATGGGTGTTCAGGAGGGTTGGGATCGAATAGACCAAAGGACTTCTTCATCTATCTTATGATTGTATTATATTGAATATAAACATTTGAACTTTTGAATTAATTTAAACCTGAAATTTACCCAATAGATCTGTTATTCTTTATATAAACCTTCCAACCCTGCAAAAAGATTATATGTTCTATTGCTCACACTTACTTGTCTAACTCATACTTACCTGTCTCTCACACTCTTGCCTGTCTCTTTCACACTGTATGTCTCTCTGTCGCTCATTCTGTCTCTCACACTACATCTGCCTCTCCCTCCCACTGTGTGTGTGTGTCTCTAACACTGTCTTTTTCTCAGTGTCTCTCACATTGTGTGTCTCTGACACTATATGTCTCCTTCACTCTATCTCTTGCACTGT